ATACAAAACCGAACTATTTTCGCCTAGAATTTACACAGCAATCAAATCCGAAAATTTGCTCAATTAAATTATGCACTGTCTATTTAAAAAAAAATTATGGGTCATCACAGTCTAACTCTAACACATTTATAGGATGAGATAGTGATAAACTGCAACATGTGTTGTATGCAGTAGGAACCAAGATAAGCTATGCTTTTAATGATTACCTATCTCTTGAGATACAGAAATCTAAGAGGAGTACAAAGGATACTTGTTATAGGAATCACCAATGTAAGTGTGAGGTGGGGCCGCTTTTGTGAGAATTAATTAGACACAATTCTCTAAAGCACTCAATGAAACTAGGGGTTGTTCAGGGCAAAAATAAACACAATAGGGAGAACTTCAAACTATGTCAGAGCTACTCTGTGTATACTCTGTTGTCTAGGTTTTTACCAAATGGCTGACAGTTCAAGGCTTTTAGTCCACTGATCATTTAGTAAATTCAATAGGCATTGGAAAGGTTCAAGGCCGTAAGCTACCTATTCTATGCGGTGTAGTTCCTCATTATACTCTCTCTGCAAATTAGCGTTTTATTTGAATCTTATCAATTTCATTTGTGTGGGGGATTGTTGAAAAGATTGGGTTTTGACCCATAGTTTTGGCTTAGTTTAAGTTAAAATAAAAATGAGACCTACATACTTTTTTTGTTGGGTCCAAGTAATGACGTACAATATGCCATGTGGTGAATAATACCTTGAAGTTGGTTTGTCAAAGCCATTAATGGGTGAATAATTGACACCAAAAAGAGCTCCATGAATATGGAAAGTCTTGATGCAATAATTAAGTATCCCACATTGCTAGAAGAGAAGAAGTTTAAATGGTTTATATAGACCAAGTTGGCATTTGGGTTTGGGTCCCAAGGGGCATCTAAGTTTTGTGAAGAGAGGAGTGATGGATGGGCTTGGACTCAAGACTATGGACAAGTGGATTTATGTCAAAAATCCTGTGCCATGCCGTGCTCGGGTTCAGGTGCGTGGTGCATTGAGTTGGTCCAACCTAAGTCTTATGTTTTTGGGCCAAATTTAATTGGATTTTTAGCCCAAAAATCTTGCGGGAAATTTTTTATTTTGAAATTTGAATTCAAAATATTTCTGAAATGACCTCAGCATTTTCCTAAAACGTTGCAATATAGTCCTTCCGAAACCAATGCCTCTTTTCACCTTCTTCCTTACTGTTACAGTTTTTCTGAAGGGATGCAATCTTATCGAACAGTCATCATACTCTCTATAAATAGTCTCTCCTTCTGCCATTCTAGGCACTTCAATTTTTGTTGCTTTTGTTCTTCTTTTCTTCTCTTTCGTTTCTATATTCTATTAGAGAGAGATATAAACATAGTTCAGTTCGCCAGGCTCACCATGGTTGTGCTACTTCAGTGAGAGTTTGATTGTTGTATCCTAGGAAACAGACGCCATAAATACTCGAAGGCACCAGTGCGAGGGCGAATTCTATCTTAGGGAGATAGTGTTAAACACTATACGCGATCACTTCGATTCTTTGAAAGTCTTTACTACTGTGAGTTCTTCGTATTTATTTATTTTCTGTAACTATTTTCTTTTTCTGGATTAATTTGTTTATTCCAGAAATTTTGTATCTTCTTATTTATTAATTTACACTTAAGATTGTTCAACCTCTCCCAATACACTTTCCTTGTTTTGTAACTAATTTACGTTATCTTCAGATCTACAAAATATAATTTATGAGAAGTAAGAGCTTCTACAATGGTGAACTATATGGTTTTTTATTGTTATATTTTGCCTTAAAATTCTCAAATTTTTACTTCAATAGTAAGACATATGGCTTGCTATCTATTATCTGTATATAAGTAACATTGTATCAAATATAGCACAAAGTTTAGTTATAGATAATCTTCCTGTCTACATCTTTCTTTTAAGAATTTACATATAACATTTGATTTGACATTTTAAAAGAAACTTTGAATTTTTTTAACATATTGACATAACATTACTAAAATGAATCATTTTAACATTATTTAAATTGGAGATGCTACAAGGCCTTAGGAGTTGAATTGCTAGTGAAATGAGCCAAGCTGAGCTAAGGCTATTTATAACTTCATCAAAATCTTGTTAGAAACTTGGTTGTTTAGCTCAGATATCTACAGCTAACATCTTTAATTAGGATATCAAGGATTTTTGGCATTAAAGCTGCGTGATATGTGAAAGTGTTTTAATGTGTAACAGAGACTGAGAAATGCAGCAATCTTACACTTGTTAATTAAAGTGCGGCTTAGTTAATTGGTTTTTTTAAGGGCAAATTACACTAACAGCCATGTAGTTCGGGACTTGTATCACTTTGATCCCTAATCTTTCAATTATGATACATTTGATCACGAATTTTGAATCACATTTTAAATAAAGACAATCAAATATATTTCATTTGCAAACGAAAAATTCTTCATTTCAAGCGCAAAGTCGTCATGCAACTTATTTTGTGTTGGTTAACTTATATATTATTTGAAATGTAAAGGCAATTTTTTAAATAAATAATGTTGGCACTTTCTTGGTTACAAAGTTCTGTTTGGTTTGATTTTCATAATCTATTTTCAGAAAAAAAAAAAATAAAAAAAAAAAAAGAAACTAAAAATTAAATTGGTGAAAAAAATTAAAAACACTAGTCATTTTTATATAATTTTATCTTTTGGGAGAGTAGAAATATTTTTTTAATTTTTTTGTATTTCTTTTTGTTAAATTAGTTCTTATTTTTTCAAAAATAATATCAAAAACTTAATTCAAACATGACAACAATTTTGATGTCATTAAATCAAAAAATCAATTACACATTAAAAGTCCAATAACTAGTTTTATGTTATTTTACTCACTCCAACCACACTCTCTACTTTTCACTATCTAAAGTACGAAAAAAGTACACTCTTTATTTTTCCTAATTACTTTAGCTATTGTGTTCTCCAACCACACTCTTTATTTTAGCCAATCATTCAAACTAACTTAACTAATTTTTAAAACAAAAAATACTAATTGTTGATATTTTACTAATGTAAATTTGCAATAATAATTAATTTGCCCATACAAACATACAAAACCTATGGAATGAGGAGAAAAAAAATACAAAATATAAAATAAGTTATTCCGTAATTCATCAAACAGAATTGAAAGAACATACAAAATTGCTACATATACATATACATATATAAAATTCAAATTCAAAACATAAATATACAAAAAATATATACATACATATTTATTTGCAGAGCCTCTGGGACTCTTCAATTGTAGCTAGCGAAAAGATAAGATAGTAAAGTAGCTAGCCCAATAGCTAATCTATTGGAGGCCCAAAATTAGAGTTACATTGGCTAAAATGTCTAACAAACTTTTTTTAGTTATCCTCTTGGAGATGATACAACAAAAGTAACCTATGGTGAGGAAAACTAGTGAAGAAAATAAATTTCGTCACTAAAGAAAAATAATTCGTGAGGAATTTATAAATTTTGTCACATATAATAATAATAAAAAAATGATAGGTAACGAAATTTATTTTTGTCAATAAATACTTCATTTTAAGTGAGGAAAAATTAAATTTCATCACCAAAAATTTTCCCTCTAATTTTTTTGGGTGGCGCCAAAATTTTGAGACTTTTAGTGAGAAAAAAATTTGTCACTAATTATAAAATTATTTGTGAGGAATATATTTTCGTCACCAAAACGTTTTAATATTTTTGATATCTTTTGGTGTGGAAATAATATTGTCACCAATTTTGGTGGGAAATTTTTTATATATTGAGCGGCAATAAAAAACGATAGGGTATTAATTTTTTTACCGCTTTTTTGTTTATCATCTCTCTCTCTCTCTCTCTCAAAATAGGGAATTAATTTGTCTTACCTCTTCTTCCTCCACCACGTCGATCGCCATCGTCGTCACCTCTATTAGCCTTGCCGATCGCCGATTGCCGCCGCCACCAGTAGCCTTGCCGGTAACCGCCACATCTTCTTCGCTCGATGATTTGGCACGTGATTTCTCTTTGCTCTTTTTCTGGTGTCTCTTTCTCTTATTCTCTGTTTTGGTATGATGACGAAAATTAGTGAAGAAAACAAATTTCGTTACTAAATAAGAATAATCTATGAGGAATTATAAATTTTGTCACGTATAATAAAAAAATAAAAATAATAGGTGACGAGATTTATTTCAGTCAATAAATGCTTACTTTTAGGTGAGAAAAAAAATTATGTTTCGTCACCTAATTTTTGCCACTAATTTTTTTTTATGGCACCAAAATTTTGAAACTTTTTGTGAGAAATTTTTTTTCACTAATTATAAAATTTGTTATTAATTATAAAATTATTTGTGAGAAATATATTTTCGTCACCAATAATTTTTAATATTTTTGAGATGTTTTGGTGAGAAAATAATGTTGTCACCAATTTTGGTGAGAAAATTTTGATGTATTGAGTAACAATGACCAAAAAAAAGGGTATTAATTTTTTTACCCCTTTTCTGTTTATCATCTCTCTCTCTCTCAAAATAGGCACTACTATAAAAACAGCTAAATATCACACTTTGACAAATGAAAATATCTCACTTTTATTAGAAGTGTGATAAAAAAAATTAGATTGATATTTTAATCACAATTAATTTGATTAAATGTGATAATATTTATTTTTATGTCACTTTTTAATTAAGTTTGATTATATATATATATATATATATTAATCTCACCTTCTAAATGTGATTATATATAATTTTTTTTAATTACAACTTCTAAATAAATGTAATGATGTGATTATATATAATTTTTTTAATCACAACTTCTAAATAAGTGTGATGAATATATATTACAAAAAATTCAATTTAGAAAATTCAATTAAATTTCTAAAAAAAATAATTTTCTTTTCTTCTCCTCTCAATTAAATTTCTAAAAAAATTAATTTTCTTTTCTTCTTCTCTCTTTCGTGACTCCTGCCCTCTCTCTCTCTCTCTCTCTGAGAGAATGATAAACACCTCATGGGCACGACCTTTGCATCTCCTCCTCTTCCCTTAATTCAGATCCTCTTCCCCAATGGAGACCCACCCTCTTCGCCATAGACGGTGCTTTGCATTTCCCTTACAACCCTTCGAAACTCATTGGCTTGGGAAAGACCTGCAATTTTGGTAAGGTTCTAAACCTAGAGTTTGTTTCTTTTTTTTTCTTAAACCTTTCTCTTCTTAAATTAGGGCATTTGATTAAACTATTTGGATTTCAATTCAACGATTTCTGGTGTGGGGTTTTGAATTAGGGCATTTGATTCAACGATTTCTGGGTGGGGGGTTTTGATTTTTTTTTTTTTATATATAAAATTCTTAGGTAGTGAGTTTTCCCCCTTGTTTCTCCTTTTTTTTCATATTTAAAAAGAAAAAAGAAAGAAAAATCTAACAGGCACCATGCTTATGGATGTGAATCCAGAAACTCTAAGATTTGTCTTTTTTTTATATGAGTTTCAATAGTCTAAATGGGATTCAAGTTTTGAAATGGTTCTGAAATATACAAGTGTTCTCTAGCCTTGTCCAAATCAATTTTATGTTTTTGTTTTTCCAATTTTTTCATTATGTAATGCAATCTATAATATCTATGAAGTTCATGTCTTCTTCTTTGTAGTTTTGCACCTTAAATGTTTATTTATTTACTGTGGTATATGATTTTTTTGGTAGTAATTCTCCATATGGTATGTAGATTCAATCATTTCACTTTTTATTTGATTGAAACATTTGTCTAATCTTTTTATTTTGTTAGGATTTCCCCTCTTGTTTGTGACAGGAAACGGATAAGAATTCTGCATGTCAAGTGTTTGAAGATATTTCCGAGAGACAACCCATCAACCCATCAAACCATCAACCCAGTGTTGTTGAAAAACTTATCGTATATTAACCTCTTATAAAATGACTATTCTGTTTGTAATGGAGCATAAAAGTTTTTAAGAATTCAAATGAGACATTGTAAAGGGAAGGGAGTGTCACTACAAGAAATTAGTCTTATAGAGAATAAGAATAAGAATGATGAATGAATCGTCTCTCACTAGGCCATATGTATGTAGTATTGCTATCAAACTCTTGAGATTTTAATGACAATAACTTGCCTACTACTCAACTAATGGCGGTAGTAGTAGGAATGACGATTTTTAAACTTCTAACAATTGATCTTAAACATTAGGAATGACAATTTTTAAACTTTCCCCTCTTGCGAATCACAAGAGTTAATGTCCATGCTAGTTTCACCTCCCTTTTCCAATTTTGGTTATTCATAAATTTCTCATTTACGTATTCTTGTTTTTTTTTGGGCTGCTTACAGGATAAAGATGTGTCTAGTGATATATAGAACATTAGAATCGTATATGTTTCTGTTGTTATTTTTCAAGCCTCTTAGTATTGCTTTTGAGACATTACAAGTACTTTTATTGGGAAGTCTTTTCATTTTCATAATGGATAGATCTATCTATAGATCATGTAACATTTTTCCCGTAGAACATATAATAAACACAGGCTGAAGGTTCTTTAGTCTGCAAATTGTTTTTTGTAGGCTATTTTGATTCATGGTTTTCAATTGCTCAATATATGGTTCCATGATTCGGCAGGGAACAACACAAATTGCCAAAGGTCCAAACTCCTTGATATATCAATAGCAGGTTGTTTGCAAACTTTTTTTATGTAGCCATGTTATTTTGTTGTTGTGTTACCAAGTGGTTGGGGGTTCTCATGTTTTCTGGTCCCGTTATTCACTTTTTCCTTATTTGCTTATAGCTCCCAAATTTTTTTGTGATGCATTTATTTTGTTGTTTTCTTTCTTCATTCCTCTAACTTAGTATTCCCTGTTCTTTAAAGAAGATGTGTTTTGTGAAGCATGGCACTGTAGTTTTCTTTATATTCTTTTCCCTTTTCGCCATATAAAAATAAAATTATTTGAATGAACAGGTAAAACATGTTAAGCCAACTATGTTACAATTTTTTTCTTGTCCACTTATATCTCATAAAAGAAAAAAAATTTAGTGCTGCATTTATTTTGCTGTTTTCTTTCTTTCTTCCTCTAAGCCAGTATTTTATGATCTTGAAAGAAGATGTGTTTTGTGAAGCGTGGCAGTGTATAGTTTTCTTAATTTCTTTTCCTTTCTTTTCTTTTCTTTTCTTTTCTCTTTTTTTTTTTCCTTCCTATAAACGTAAGGGGGTTTGTTGCTTGGTGCAATAGTAAAAGCTCTACAAGACCTTTTTACCTATGCCTAGCCTGCTCAGTTAGTGTCAATGTCAAGAAAATGCACCAATCTCTATCTTTTTTTCTTAAAGGTTTATATGTTTGTGATTATTTTAACTCGACATGTTTTTAGTTGGTGGGTTGTCTTGGCAATGTTTATATATTTATTAATTCTTTCTAAGACCATGGCTTTCCATGATTCTTGGCAATCATTCATTTTCTATTGTTATTGTTGATGCTGTTGCTAAAGACCAAGGGTACTTCTAATTGTTGTTGTGGATTGGATTTGTCATTATTGTAACTTAACAAATTTGAGTGCGGGTTCATTCTATGAATGGAAAGGCATTCTCATATGGAACTTGGGTTTTCTTCTGGACATCATGACGTTATTGATGGCACTCTGTCATTATGTGCATATCTGGTGGCTTCATGGCATGAAATTTCATCTTGTGGATGTAGTTCTTTTCCTAAATATATGTGTAAAGTTTCTCACTATTTTTTTGCAGCAATATATTGAGATTCATTTGACTTGGACTTTTCAACATTATTATTTCATGTTTATTTTGTTTAACACTTCATATTATTGACCAGGCCTTGTTAGGTGCAATTGTAAAACGTATCAAATGATTTATTAGGTTGAAGATAGCTTTAGGCATCCTTCATGGAGCACTTCCAGATGCAACACTTGAGGAGATTGAAGCATATGATGATGAATGTGCTATTTGTAGGGTGAGCTTGTTAGCTTAGTTCATTCTCAATTCCCTATTTGATTTTTTGTTAATCTCCAAGCTGTTTGATGGGTGGGCAAATGACAGGAACCAATGGCAAAGGCGAAGAGACTGTCTTGTAAACATCTTTTCCATCTAACATGTTTGAGATCTTGGTATGATCTATGTTGCGTGTTACAATCTTGGACCCCCCCATCATGAGCAGAGAGGAATTTGAAGCTCGGAAAGCTGATCTATGAAGGAAGCATACAACGGAATCTATTGCTGCAAAGGTACTATCAATAAGCATCATTCCTTATTATCTGTTAATGTTGCTTGAGTTTTTGTTCCTAGGAAATTTAGCAAGAAATAGAACTTAAAAAGTTTTACTAGCAATAATGCTTCCCCATATTTATATCTATCTGTGGAAGTGGATATCAGATGCTACTCTGTTTTTACTGCATAGTGTGAGAATGCTGCTTCAAGTTTGTAGGAAGTTACTTTCTGCAAGTGCAAATGTTACCAAAGGTTACTCCCTCTATTCATAGATTCTAATCATGCCATTAATTTAACTAGGCTTTACAATCCAAAATTGAATCCCAATCAACAAGGGTCCATCTTGGGCCTGTAGGCCTGCAATGAGTTGTTCACATGTGCACAACTACAATGACAGAGATCCTAATCTTCCACTGTGGTGTAGTTTAATTAGATGGTAGTTCATAGATTGAATTCCTCTATTTTGTCATAAAGGGGTCCATGCCATTCAGTCGTTTACATTTTGTTTTATTGCCAAAAACCTAAGACTAGCTTTACAAGTGACAAGAATGTGAAGAGAGAGTTATTCTTAATTGCTTTTATGTGTTGTACTTTGTACAGGAAGCTGTCCTTTGTTTTGTTACATGTCTTTGTCAATCCTATGTAAAGCACAAATAGAATCATTTAGAAACACAAATATCATTTAGGTATAACAACCACAACTAGCTGAGTCAAATATCATTTAGAAACACAAATATCATTTAGGTATAACAACCACAACTAGCTGAGTCAAATATCATTTAGAAACACAAATATCATTTAGGTATAACAACCACAACTAGCTGAGTCAAATATCATTTAGAAACACAAATATCATTTAGGTATAACAACCACAACTAGCTGAGTCAAATATCATTTAGAAACACAAATATCATTTAGGTATAACAACCACAACTAGCTGAGTCAAATATCATTTAGAAACACAAATATCATTTAGGTATAACAACCACAACTAGCTGAGTCAAATATCATTTAGAAACACAAATATCATTTAGGTATAACAATCATTTAGAAACACAAATATCATTTCGATAAACCTGTTGCACCCACATCAAAGCTCCTGAAGAAACTTAGGACCTATTCAAGTATATTGAGGCTAATATTTTTCTCTTTCTTTTCGTTATCTTTTTTTGAAAAACTTCTTTTCATATGAAAAAACTAGTCTCACCGATTATGTATCATTTTTACTTTTAGTCACCTATATGAATGAGTATTTAGATGAAGCCTTGAAATCATTGTAGCCAGAATAGACGTATGATAATATTAAGATTTTACTAAGCAATTGACAAATCATGATGAGTATTATGTAGTAGAGCTCTTCATGACTAGGTAACTGTCTAATGTTTATCACATTTTTCTTCTCTAGTATCAATGATGATGAAGGAATTCCAGGCAGGAGCAGATTGGGCAGGAAGGGTAAATTTTTGGTTTTAAATAATTGTGTCCCTTTCTACCTTAGGGAGCTTTGGTGTTCGTAATGCTCACAACAAGGAGTCCCAAAACCTACCAATTCAGTGTTAAATTGCCAATAACCATATTTTTTGCTTTCACATTTTGAACACAATGGCATGGCATACATTCAGAGAAACATGTCCTCAAAGATGTATATACGCCTGCATTTTCTTCCCCTCCCTAATCACACTATTTAACCCACAAACACACCATCTCTAACACCATCCCCCACCAATCCCTTAGGATACATGTTTGGATTTGGATTTGGAATTGAGTAGGGCTTTGCAAATCCCCCTCAAATCCATCATCCAAACACAATATTAAAGAAAACCAACAATAGAGCAGAGGAAAAACTATTCCCATTACACAAACAAACAACTATAAGCCCTACCCATTAGCTATCATTCTCTTCCGGTTATGAAACTTCATAGATGGTGTTGTTGGAAACCTGTCTTCCACTTCATTTATAGAAATATGAATTGTACTCAAAGCTGAAATTATGCACTATACCTTGTAGTTTTTATTAATCAGTTCTATGACGCTGAATTATGGGTGGCATGAGTATCCTAAAAAGTTATCCTAATATCCTATTGTTGTTTCTCTGATAAGGAGTTTCTTTTTGCTTTTTCTCTTTAAAATGATTTGTGCCAGTTAACTCTTCTTATGATGCCTTTCCAACAAAGTTGTGCATTTCTAAATTGTGATATTTTACTTCAGAATGTGTGAATTTAATTTGTTATTTGTTAACTTATCTATATTGTCCTTATCTTATTCCTATACGTACAGTGTTTTAGTTCTTTGATTTGAGTAAGGAATAGATTCTTAAACAATATGATGTTGGAGATGCATGTGTAATTGTTGAAGATCCTCACACTGAAGATCTCAGCCAATAAGTTAGAGGCTTCATATTCTCTAGAATTCTGGTTCGTTTTTGAAAGTCATATTTGCCTCAATTGCAATTCCATTTCAAAATACTTTTGGTCACTTCTATAGCTGTATTAATTGCTGATCTTTCTCTTTATACATGATCTACATATATTTAGCAGATGTTGTATGTTTACCAGAAACCATTATAATCTTTTATTTTCTGGATGGAGAATCTTTTTTGGCTGAAAACTCAAGTTCGAAAAATGTTTTCAAGCAATCATGAGTGGACTTTTGTTCATTCTGTAGCAGCCTATCACATATAGGAAAATAAAGTTTTGCTTGCTCAGAAACAGATTCTTGATAGCAAAGACACAGACACTTGGCACGAACATGACACAACATAGATATAAATACTAAAACAAGACATAGACATGGCGACAACATTATAATAATAAAAATTACGTATAAACATGGGAATAATTAAAAAATGTCCATAACATATTTGAGTTGTGGTAGCCATGTCTATGATGCCAGTGTCTTGCATTTCTTCATTTATCTATTTATTTGAATAAATGGTTGGGTGCTTTTGGGTATGTTCATCCTTTTAATAAGGCTGTTCGTATGGCTACAATTGCCGGCCTTGTGTTTGAGTAAGTGTTAGCCGATGCCCCAAAGTTGCAAAGCATATTTAAATAACGTACACACCCAAGAAGTATCTCAAGTCTCTAGGCGTGTCCAAGTGTAGGTATTGAAGCAGTGTTCTACATGGACACTGCTTATTTGTGTCCGTGTTGCTAAGACTATAGTGGGTTGCTAAATGGTATAGAGAGTCTAATTTAACAATAAGCAGTTTGACTATTAACACTTTTTGACAAATACTGTATTGATTACTATTATTATTTTTATTGTTATATTTAGTAAGACAAGAAAATTGACTATCACTAATACATAGGATACAGTTACAGCATAGAAATGAACTTTTTTCAAAGTAGAGACAAAATTATGTGTTTACTCTCATGTATTTTTGCTAGGCAGTGTTGGAGTTGCTCTAAGTTAGTGATGTGATTAATAGGAGCTTGCCATGTACAAAGGAACTTTTGGTTGTTAAGTTATACTCATTATATACACAATTTGTATTGACATGGATAAAGAGGTCTATATAATGTAATTGGTAATATGTTAATATTTTTCTTATTTATTTTCTTTGCAGATTGGTTTTTGATGACGTCTGGAAGCATACTTGCAAATCAAGATCAAGTGTTGAATTATTTTTTTTACTGAACTAATACTTAGTTGTACTTGCAAATCAAGATTGAATGTTGATATATATATATATATATTTTTTGTGTGGATTCCACGTTAGTTCATTTTGGGATTTACTTTGATGATTTTTTTGATATACTTAATGGATTATTATTAAAGTTGTTTAATGGATATATTTTGATTTATAATACAATTGTTTGGTGAATTTTTTTGTGGAGTAGTGTATAATAGCTAGTCGATTTCTTAGCATATTTAAAAGACTATTGGGATATGAGCATGAATATTTGTGAAATAATAATTTAAATTGAAATATAAAATATGGAACAAGTTTAGTGACGAATTTGTTTCGTCATTTGTGCTTGTTATTATGACAAAGTGATTATTCGTCACTAATAAATAGTTTTTATGACAAAATTTATTGCGAATTATATATGAAAGTTTTCATTGATTTTGTTGTTTGGTGACTAAAAATTTCGTCACGTATATAAATTCTTGCTATGAAATATACTTCGTCACCCATTTGATTTTTAGAGACAAAAAATTTTGTCACCTTTACATCTTACAGTGACGAAATTATTTCCTCATCAATGATCAACATGTGTGACAAATTTATTCGTCAACTAAAATTATAAATATGGTAGTGAATAATTATTTGGTGACGAAAATGAGAATTTTTGGTGACAAAATCTTGTTTTATTCGTGACAAAAAATTTCGTCACTGAAGTAATTTCATTGGTGACGAAATTATTTTTTGTCACCGTGGTTTTTAGTGACGAACATTCAATGACGAAACTAATGACGAAAATATTTCCTCACAAATATCTATAGTGACGAAATTAACTCTTTGGAGACAAAAAAAATTCGTCATACAAGGCCCAACTTGTTGTAGTGCAAACACGTTTGTAGTTTATGTTTTTCTAAAAATAAACAAAAACCAGTTTATAAAATTTTTGTAAATATAAACTGAAAACGTAAGTGTTACCAAACAGGCCCTTAGTAAGTGGATGTGGATTGAGCAAGTTATGCAAATTGACGAGTAGATGCAGATCGATTTAACGATTTGTGCTTTACTATTTTTATACTTTTTTAAAACTATTTTAGAATATTTTTTTACTATTTCAGTCCAAAATTTTATTCTTCATTTTTTAAAATTAAAATAAAGATCAAACTTTTATATTTCATAAATTACTAATATTATTACTAAATAAAACATCTTTTTTTAACATACAAAATGTAAAAATATAACATTATTTTCTTAAAAGGGGGTTGGCGAATCAAGTTAAGTCTGAAGTTAAGTCTGATGGCTTCTCTTCTGCCATCCATCCGAACATAAGTGGATTTAAAAATCATTATCCACATCCATCTATCCGCTATCAAAACCGCTTTAAACCGGGTGAATAGGGTTGGGTTGATTGATTTTGATAGATTAGTCATGTCTATGAGCACCCCTAGTTTCATTACATAATGTCAATAATTCTCATATTTGTATTGGAAAAAAAAAGGAGGAGAAATTACCATTCAGCGATAATCTCTAAAACTTAATATAGATTCAAGAAAAAATTTATAATTTTAATTATTAATATTTATAAAATTTATCACTTATTTATAATAATTTTTTTAAACATGGACCAAATTGAAATTTTCCTCCCAACAAATGAAGTGATTGGAGGAACGCAGAGAAGTTTTCTATATTATTTTATTGGGATAATTATAGAAAAAGCCCCCAGGTTTGAGGCCATTTCACAAAATAAATTCTGACTTTTTAATTTGATCAATTAAATCTTAATATTTTAATTTACTTTCAATTTAAATCATTTACCTATTTACATTAAGTAAAATCAATAGAAAAATAGTATTTTAGTCATTAAATTCAATATAAATATACACAAAATATCTAATTATTGAGTTTAATAACTAAAATATTATTTTTCGATCGATTTTACTTAAGAAAAATAGACAAATTGTTTAAATTAAAACCAAATCAAAAGTTCAAGATTTAAATTGATAAAATTAAATATTCAAGATCAAGATTTATTTTATTAATTGGGTCAAACTTTAGATTTTTATTTTTTGTTTTTGTAATTTTTCTTATTTAATTTTTTAAGAGGCATTTTTTCATAAGTCTATTTTCACCTATTTATGTTCCATTTAGTCCATATTATTTTTTTATATTTCAATAAGTCATATAAGTAATATAGTTACCAAAATACCCTTAATAATATTCACATTTACAGTGTAAATGTTCCGTGATGTGAATGTTCACACCATCAATGTAAATGTTAACATGTCAATGCGAATATTCACATCACCACATTACTAACTCTTCAAAAAATATTTGTAAGGGTAAAAATATCCATAAAATACTTCAAGTATGAGAATTGGGATTTGGTAGATTAAGGCCTGATTTGGGAACAGACTTTTTTAGTAACTTTTTGGCTTTTTACCTAAAATGTGATGTAAAAAAAATTAGGATGTTTGGGATGATTTTTTGACTTTTTACAAAAAGATGTGCAAAAAGTAGAGAGAAAAAAGAATTTTTGACTTTTTGATTTTTTTGGTAACTTTTTGACTTTTTAGCTAAAAAAATCACTTGTCAAACGAGGCCTAAATATTCAAATAATAAGATTTATTTAAATACAAGAATATTTTATAAACTAATTGAGATATAAATATTTAAAAAAGAATTTTCTAATAAATCTCTCATTTTTTAACTTTATTATGTTGCTAAGATCAATAAAAAGAGTGTTACTCATTATACGAAAAATTGTTTTTGTTTTGGATATCATATTTAAACACAAATTTCGGACCAGTTAGATTTGGATAAAGAAAAATCTACTTATTGATTGATAAGGGGTACATTCAGATATTAAAAAAAATAAAATAGCTTTTTTGAAAAACAAAAAAAATCATTTTTCGTCTTATCACTAATTAGTTCTACTTGATGTGAATGTTCACACCATCAATGCAAATGTTAACATGTCAATGTGAATATTCACATCACCACATTACTAACTCTTCAAAAAATATTTGTAAGGGTAAAAATATCCATAAAATACTTTAAGTATGAGAATTGGGATTTGGTAGATTAAGGCCTGATTTGGGAACAGACTTTTTTAGTAACTTTTTGGCTTTTTACCTAAAATGTGATGGAAAAAAAATTAGGATGTTTGGGATGACTTTTTGGCTTTTTATAAAAAGATGTGCAAAAAGTAGAGAGAAAAAAGAATTTTTGACTTTTTGGTATGGGTTTTTGGTTTTTTGATTTTTTTGGTAACTTTTTGACTTTTTAGCTAAAAAAATCACTTGTCAAACGAGGCCTAAATGTTCAAATAATAAGATTTATTTAAATACAAGAATATTTTATAAACTAATTGAGATATAAATATTTAAAAAAGAATTTTCTAATAAATCTCTCAATTTTTTAACTTTATTATGTTGCTAAGATCAATAAAAAGAGTGTTACTCATTATACGAAAAATTGTTT